AGTTGATTTCCACCCAGAAATAGTAATGGAGTATGTAACCGGCATGTATGCATGCACCTGTTTGGAGAGGTAAACCATGCATGCAAACATGCATGAATTACCTGATAAACCACCTTCGCATGAAACAGGTCGTTGTCGAATGTGGGGAGCAGGCGAATCGAATCGAGTGGGATGCCTATGAGTGGCACACCCAGTTTCTCGTACATTCGCACCTGTGGGGGAGGCATTTGGTGGGAAGGACAGGGGGACCACATTTTGGGGGACTCATTATTTGCTTATGAGTGGCGCACCCAGGTGCTCGTACAGTCGCACCTGAGGTTAGAGACATAAACTTAACATGGGAATGAGATGGAATGAGAAGGGAATGAGATGGAATGAAAAGGAATGAGATGGAATGAGATGGGCATGAAATAGGAATGAAGGGCATAAGATGGACATAAGATGGGAATGAAAAAGGTGGCGAGCACAGGCAGGTGCTGCTGCGTGAACGCTGTGAGTAACTCACAAGTGCAGCGGGCGGAATTTTCACAATTGCAGATGCTTGATTCGGCTGCTGTAAGGAATGAGCTTCATTACAACACACCACCTGGCCACATACATACAGTTGCGGCTCTCTAGACTCCAGTCTCCACCTGGGTCCCATCTGGATCGCACCTGGATCCCACCTGGATCCCACCTGATCCCACCTGGGTCCCATCGGGATCGCACCTGGCGACTCCTGGCGAGTACGGGCAGGTGTCGCAGCGTGGAGGGCATGAGGGGCGCAGCAACAAGGAAGAGCGGAAATAGCTCCATGAGGAAGTGGTAGAAGTTGTCTCCGACTCGGTACGCCCAGTTGAACACAGGCGTGGACAGCTCATGCACCACGTGGCCCACATCGTATGTCACCTGGTGATAGATAGCCAAGGGAATGCACAGCACAGCACCGCACAGCACAGCACCGCACAGCACAGCACCGCACAGCACAGAACCGCACAGCACAGCATTGCACAGCACAGCACAGCACAGCACAGCGCAGCACAGCGCAGCACCGCACAGCAAAGCACAGCACAGCACAGCACAGCAAAGCACAGCACAGCACAGCACAGCACAGCACCGCACAGCACAGCACAGCGCAGCGCAGCACCGCACAGCACAGCACAGCACAGCACAGCACAGCACAGCACAGCACAGCACAGCACAGCACAGCACCGCACAGCACAGCACAGCACAGCACAGCACGATGGCCACACAAGAGTTGGCAGCACGTTGTGGCGCCCACAAATCCTGGCAGGTCGTAACATCCATGTGGCTCGCGTCGTACATGGGTTTTAGGGTTTGACCGAAAACACACACACTTCCCCACGCTTCCACCTCCCTTTCTTCCCCCCCCCCACCTCCCCACCCCCCCCCCCCCCCCCCCCCCCCCCTCCCCCCTTTTCCCCTCTTCATGCTAACCCCCTCTCACCGTTCCTGGGAAGCCCGTGCATCCGCTTCGTAAGAAAAGGTGCGTGCGGTTGAGAACAATCCCGATGTCCATCACATACACGTCCTCCAGACGCATCATCTGCAGCGCGGACGCCCCGTGTTTCTTAAAGTCCCCCTTGTGCGAGCACGACTCGTCAAACGGCACCATATGAGTCCTTTTGTCCTGCCCTGCGCTGTCTCCTTTAAGGGGGCAGTTTATAGGAGGGACTATCTCATCCGCGGGTCCATCCACGAGGTGGGGGTTCCAACAAGCCTGCACGTTGGGGAAGCGGGCGGTGCATGAGCCGAAGGAGGGGCAGGGAGGGCCGTGGCACCGCAGCTGCGGCAGGGCCCATTCTACTAAGTCAATTACGACACCGCCCACTGACGTGCTTGACACGCCTGTACGGTTGGCGCGTGAACTGTACCCCGAATTGAAACCTGGAACGTCACGGGAACCGACGCTGGAATCGTCACCTGAAGCGTCACCGGAGACGGCTAGCTGGTTTGGATAGCTGGTCAAGTTGCGGAGGACACATTTATAGAACGACACGTTCTCGTAATACCCGAGGAGCACGCCGGGCAGGCGAGACGTGTTGATAGGAAAGCCGAGGGGACGAGTCAGAAGGTCGACTCGCTCTGGGTGGGTCCTGCCGTGGCAGGGAGAATGGATGGAAGACAGAGCAGGAAAGAACACATTGAGCAGGCGAGACGTGTTGATAGGAAAGCCCAGGGGACGAGTCAGAATGTCGACTCGCTATGGGTGGGTTCTGGCGTGGCAGGGAGCGAGAGGAGGCGAAGAGTGGATGGAAAGAGTTTGAGGGGAGAGAGAGGGAGAGAAGACCGACCTGAAAAAAAAATCGCCTTGCGAAAGGGTCTAGGACAGATAGGGCCAAACCGACCTGAAAAGCGGCTTCGACAAGTGTTGACTTACTGACCTGAAAAAACCTAATAAGAATGTGCTCACTGACCTGAATCGTTGCGGCAGGTAATAGTTGAGCTGGCCTTCAAACTCGCCCACCCTGCCCACCAGACGCGACCTCGGAGATTGCTGGCCGTTGATCGCTGCTGGGTTGAAGGAATGGGAAGAACGGGAAGGAAGGGGAAGACGGGGAAGGAAGGGAAAGGACAGGGAAGGAAGGGGACGAAAGGGAAGGAACGGAAAGGACAGGGAATGAATGGGAAGAAAGGGAAGGAAGCGGAAGGATAGGGAAGAAAGGGGAAGAAAGGGAAGGAAGGGGAAGGGAAGGAAAGGAAAGGGATGGACAGGGAGGAAGAGGAATAGAATGGGCCACAGTACAGGGAAAGAATGAGCGCCGCTGATTACTTGTCCCCGTGGTTGGTGGATGAATTGACGGGAAATCATCAAGAACTTGACGACAAGGTGGACGGCAGACTGATGCACGGCAGATTCGACGGAGCAGAGCCTAGTACGGAGATGCACGGCGAATTCGTTACCTCCATGCACGGTGGATTCGACCGCGAATCCGCCGGATGATGCATTGACGGAAACCGTCAAGATGACGGCAACCACCCACAATAGCAAGCGACTCCCACTGGCAATGGCGCGTGCCACCGTCATGAAGTCCGTCAAGCGATAGACAGTAAAAACGGCTGCTTACTAAGAAAGCAGTCTGGCGAGAGCGCAAGACAATACAAGGGGTCGAGCACTTAATTTGAAGGCTTCAGCGGGCCGCGGTGCACAGGACGCGGCACAGGAGGCGGGGGAGCTCACCTGACGATTGGACTGGCGATGGGATTTTGGATGGGACTGGGGATGGGACCGCTCGCGCACATGTGCGGCTGTGTGAATTTGCGAGATTTCGCAACAGAAGCTCAAAATGTTCGTCGGAGGTAATCCGAGCCGTCCTGACCACTGCACAGTCGGCGAAAAAGCTGTAACTATCGCCTTCGCGGCTGCTAGGTAGGCAGAGCATTGATGCTGGCGATCGTCGCAAACTTAGCACTTGAACTAACGTGTGTTAAATTCCAGATTTCCGGTGTCTCGCGTTGCTCCAGAGCGATTCGGTGTGACTGGAGTCACCCGTCGCTGGAAGTGAGTTTGTCCGCAAGCCACGATATCACCGTCAGGTCAACTGCCAGGTGATGGCCGGCGTCCCGCGACATCCACCTGACCACGAAGAGAACAAGACCCCGTAGGACTGCATTACGCAATCGAAATGGGGTCAACCCTAAACAGGGAGAAAATAGGAAATAGAATCACTCCTCACTTCTTACATGACGTAACCTACACTTGGAAGAACCCTGAGTTAGTAGTAAGTCGCATGATGAATGTTTGGACTTGCTTCTGCGATGCTGCAAGCGCCTGCACTGATACGGATGTTCCCGTAATAAGCCTGCGATAAGAAGTGTCGTTTTCAGGAACAGGATTTTTTTCCTCTAATTCCTCTAGAAATACCCTTTTCTACAGCCACCTTCTTTCGCGGGAATTTTTGCTTCTTGAAATTGGATGTCGCGGAGAGTGTTGAAATTGGAGGGAACCTTATTGTTCCCCCAATTTCAAATCCAGGGCACCACCACAAGGATGCGCCTCGGTGCCCACGTTTTGATATTAGCGAGAATCAGGTGTAGAGGTAGTGCTGTTGCGAGGTCGTCATTCCCAGTAGTGTATTATTAGCGCCGGCCCTTGCAGCATCGCGGAAAGGAAAGTCATTTGCTGGGGTTTGTACGACTAGCTCAGGGTACTTTGCAAGTCAGGTCTAAAGCTTTTCCGTGTAGGTTACGTCATGTAAGAGTGACAAAATGGCAAAAAAATATCTGCGGCGCGGCGCAGCTTGCTTTGATCATCGCGGCATAGCAGCCATAAACGGGACGAGTAACCCACACACCCTCGCGTTTTTAGGGTTGAACCCACTTGATTGCGTACGCAGTACGACGCCGGGTCTATTCTCTCGTGGTCAGGTGGACATCGCTGGGCGCTGGCCCGTCAGGTGATCACCTGACAACTACTATGTGGGCTTGGGGACAAACCAAATCACATCATCCAGCGCCAAGGTCACTCCAGTCACGCCAGCCAACGGAATCTGGACGGCAAACGCCTGCTAGATTCACAAGCAAACCTTGTGACCGTGCTGCGTATGCCCGCAACTGGTTGTTGTGGCTGTGAGAGGCGTTTTGTGGCGGCGAAGGGATACAGCCTGGTTTTTCTCGCCGACTTCGCCACGTACTAGTAGTATCTCGGGACGACTCGGAAAACCTCCAACGAGCACTTCGAACATCTGTTCGCGAATCTCGCTAATGTTGTGTGCGACCGCGCTCCCCAGTCCCCATCGCCCAATCGCCAGGTGAGCTCCCTCGTCTCCTTGTGCGTCTGTGCACCGCCCGCTGAAGCCTGCACCAGTACTAGTTGCAGCATGATAAGATGTCAAGCCAACCCAGAAGCGGCAAGGCTTGTGCTAGTCTGCTCTCTGCGTGCTCTGTCCATTTCCTGTGAGCCTCGCTTTTGCACTGAACACCTGTCAGAGGCTCGCGAACCAGGCTGCTACTCATAGCAAACCGCCGGTTCCACTACTCTCAGTATCTGACGGAATCTTATGATGGTGACACGCGCCATCATGGCTAGTGGTCGCCGGCTGTTGCCGGTGGTTGTTGCCGTCTTTCTGACGGTTCTTGTCAAGGCCGCACCCGTCAAATCCACGGTTGAATCCGCCGGGAATGCTGGTGAGGAAAGTAGGCCACCACGCTCCACCACATTCCACCACGATCCACCACACCGCTCCTTTTTCAGTCGACTCTAGAGCCACCACGTCTTCTTCTTGACGATTCACGTCAATCCACCCACCCACCCACCGTGAACCAGCTATGTTGGTGTTGCTTTTGAGAATTCTCATAAGCAACAACCACCGTGGTGAAAGGTAGCCAGAGAAGCTGCAGCGCTCCTTCTTGTTTGCTCCTCCTTCCACTTCCCCTTCCTTCCCCTTCCTTACCCTCCTTATCCCGATTTTCTCCTTACCCTTACCCCTCCTTTCCCTACTTTCTCCTTCCCGTTCTCCTTCCTTTCCCTTCCATAAACTGTAATGATTACTCCTGGCAGAGATCAACGGCCAGGATTCTACGAGCCGTCATCTGGTGGGCAGGGTGGGCGAGTTCGAAGGCGAGCTCAATTATTACCTGCCAGCGCATTTGAGGTCAGTCAACGGTACTTGTCAGTCAATGGTACTTGTCAGTCAACGGTACTTGTCAGTCAACGGTACTTGTCAGTCAACGGTACTTGTCAGTCAACGATACTTGCCAGTCAACGGTACTTGCCAGTCAATGGTACTTGCCAGTCAACGGTAATTGCTCGAGCGGTTTCAATCACTTGGCCTTTCTTGGAAAGCCCACAGACCCACGCACACGCCCTCACCCACACGCACACGCATACACCCACACCCGCACGCACACGCACACACACACGCACACACACACGCACACACACACACGCACACACACACACACACACACACACACGCACACACCCACACGGACACACGCACACAAACACACACAACTCCACACACACACACACACACACACACCCACACCGCCGTGACAAGATGGCTTCTGGGTCGGCTCAAAAGTAGTCGCTCTCTTCATCCATTCCTCGCCCCTCCCTCCCGCCAACCACGCCAGGCATCACCCAGAGCGATTCAAACTTGTACTCTTGCCGGTAGGGTGCCGTCTCGACGCTTCTCGCCTGCCCAACATCTTACCTCTTTTCCCCTCTCTCTTTCCACCTGTTATTCACACCCACCCCCCTCCCTTCCCCCTCCCTCCCTCCCTCCCTCCCTACCTCCCTCCCTACCTCCCTCCCTCCCTCCCTCCCTCCCTCCCTCCCTCCCTCCCTCCCTCCCTCCCTCCCTCCCTCCCTCCCTCCCTCCCTCCCTCCCTCCCTCCCCCCTCCATCCCTCCCTCTCCTCCCTACCATCCCACGCCAGGCATCACCCGGAGCGAGTCAACCTTGTGTTTCGCCCGCTGGGGTGCCCTCTAGACGCCTCCCGCTTGTCGATTGTCTTCATGGGCTTCTTCGAAAGCCTCCCACTCCGCAAGCCGTGGCTCTCCAACTTAACCGACACTCCAATTGGACCTGGAAGCGACATTTCATGTGTCACTTCAGGTGCCATCTTAGGTGGCGGTTCAAGTGACGGTTCGAGTAGCAGCTCCAATGGCATTTCAGAGAGCAGCTCAAGTGGCAATGCAAGAAATTATATCGGAAACGTTACAAGTGCTTCAACGGACAGTGCTCCAGCAGAGAGTGCTTCAGCAGAGAGTGCTCCAGCAGAGAGTGCTTTAGCAGAGAGTGCTTTGAAGGAGAGTGCTTCAAAGGAGAGTGCTTCAAAGGAGAGTGCTTTGAAGGAGAGTGCTTTAAAGGAGAGTGCTGGAGCAGAGAGTGTCCCAGGCGAGTCAGACTGGGTGAAGAAGCTCGGGTGCCACGGCCCTCCCTGCCCCTCCTTCGGCTCATGCACCACCCGCTTCCCCAACGTGCAGGCCTGCTGGAACCCCCACCTCGTGGACGAACCCGAGACTGAAATCATCCCCCCTATAAACTGCCCCCTAAAAAATGATAGCACTGCGTTGGACAAGTGGAGGAAGGGGACGGGGCGGGCGCCGTTTGACGAGACGTGCTCCCACAGGAAGGATTTCAACGCGCGTGGGGCGAGTGCGCTGCAGGTGATGCGGCTGGAGGACGTGTTTGTGACTCACAACGGGTCCAACCTCAACCGCACGCACTCGTTCGTGAGGAACGGGTGCTGGCGCTTCCCCGGAATGGTGAGAGCTTTTTAGTCGACTTAAAAATCGTCTCAAACAACAGGATGAATCTCAACCGCACGCACTCGTTCGTCAGGAACGGGTACTGGTGCTTCCCTGGAATGGTGAGAGAGAGGTGTGTGTGTGGAGGGAGGGATGTAGAGGGGAGAGGGTTGTGTGGAGGGAGGGTTTGCATCGAGGGAGGGTTTGCATTGAGGGAGGGTTTGCAGAAAGTGAGGGTTGTTCCTGTGCGATGGGTGCTCCTGTTCTTGTGCGATGGGTGCTCCTGTTCTTGTGCGATGGGTGCTCCTGTTCTTGTGCGATGGGTGCTCCTGTTCTTGTGCGATGGGTGCTCCTGTTCTTATGTGATGGGTGCTCCTGTTCTTGTGCGATGGGTGCTCCTGTTCTTGTGCGATGGGTGCTCCTGTTCTTGTGCGATGGGTGCTCCTGTTCTTGTGCGATGGGTGCTCCTGTTCTGCAGTGCGACATAGAGTGCGCTAGCAAATGGCACATGACCGTATTGCGGTGGGTGCTTCTGTCTGCAACTCGATGCAGTGCTAAATCTGGCATAACGTTGCATCTGGCATAACGTTGCATGTGGCAGCGTTGCATGTGTCATTTTGCCATGTGTGCACTCAACTCCATTTCAAGTTTGAGGCGAACCAACCACTTGGCCCTCAGTGCCCGGTGGTTTGTAAGTCGACTCAAAATCACCATGTTATGTGCCATGCATGCATTTCCTTCCCTTCCACCAGACCAAGTGACTTTTGAGTCGACTCAAAAGTCACCCCGCAGTTCCTGGTGGTTTGTGAGTCGACTCAAATTCACCATGTCATGTACCATGCACTTCCTTACCTTTCACCAGGCCAAGTACGAGGCGAGACACATGGTGCGGTGCACGAGCTGCTAGTCGTGTTTGAATCAACTGGGCATTCCACCCACCAACCAGCCAAGAAATTTCACCACCCACTTGTGTTTTGCTCTGCACTGCACTCCCTTCCCTTCCCTTCCCTTCCCTTTCACCACCAGACCAAGTATGAGGCGGGGCACATGGTGCACGAGGTGCCAGCGGTGTTCAACTGGGCGCACCAACCCGGCAACAACTTCTATCACTTCCTTATCGAGCTCGTTCCTCTCTTCCTCGTCTCCGCGCCTCTCATGGCGTCCACGCTGCGAAACGTGCCTGTGCTCTTGGGGCATAAACAGGTGGGTGTCGAGTCCAGTCCAGTCCAGTCAAGCAGCGCAAGGCATGCATGACTTTCAATTTCAAAATAAATCACATAACGTGATTCAAGCATCTGCTTCAATCAACCGTGCCTGTCACCCACAGGTGCGTTGGTACGGGCTGCTGGTCGTTCCACGAATTGGCATTCTTTTGCCCGTGGCATTCCGTTGCTTCCCATGCCATTCCCTGTCCATGCCTCTCCTCCCTGCAGGTGCGTTGGTACGAGCAGGTGGGTGCTTCCCTCGTTGGCATCCCAACAGATCAGATTCGCCTGCTGCCCACATTCGACCAAGATCTCTTTCACGCCGATGTGGTGTACCAGGTAGGCTACGCATGTATGGCATGGCATGGCATGGCATGGCATGGCATGGCATGGCATGGCATGGGATGACACAGCATGCAGACATGGTGTACCAGGTAAGCCATTCATGGCATGGCATGGCATGGCACGGCATGCAGAGGTGGTGTCCCATGTAGGGTCAATTATCACGCGTCATGCCATGCACTGCCTTGCCATGCCCTGCCCTGCCCTGCCGTGCCCTGCCATGCTCGCCTTTCCCTGCCATGTTATGCCATGCTCATGCTATGCCATGCCATTTCATGCCATGGCATCTCATCCCGTGCCATGCCATTCCCTGCTGTATCCCACCATGCCATATCACATCACACCTTGTCATGACTTTCGACCATCCCATCTTTCTCTCACACTTACCCCACTCTCACACTTCCCCCACTCTCACACTTACCCCACTCTCACACTTCCCCCACTCTCACACTTACCCCACTCTCACACTTACCCCACTCTCACACTTCCCCCACTCTCACACTTCCCCCACTCTCACTCTTCCCCCACTTTCACCCCCTCTCGCCCTCCCCCACCTCCCCACTCCCCACTCCCCCACCTCCCCGCCTCCCCACCTCCCCGGCCCCCCATCCCCCAGCCCATATACCAAGACTGCGACCGCCCCAGCCGGTCGCTCTGGCAGATGATGCGGCGCCGCCATCTGCTGCACCCCTCCGGCATCCCTCTCTTCAACCCCGACTGGACCTACCGCAGCCACCGCCCTCTCTCCCTTGCTGAAGCGCGCTCCTTTCCCTCCGACTGGGTGGTCGTGCTGGCGAAGCGCCCGGAGGGGCGGCGACGGTCGATGGAGAATTTCAAGGAGGTGGAGGCGGAGGTGGTGCGGCGGTTTGGGAGTGAGAGAGTGGTGGTTTTTGACGGCTCGCTGCCGCTTCTGCAAGGTGAGGGTGTGCTGCGGTCTGGGTGTGTGAGTTTTGGGATGTTGGATGGGTCATTTGATTTTGCAAGGTGAGGAGGAGTGTGCGAGGAATTCACTGGTGACGGGTTTAAGTTTGAAGCGGCCACAAGGGAAGCGACGGGTGCTGGTGGATTTTTTAGAGGCAGAGAGGTGGTTCGGCGGTTTTTGGCACGATAGAGAGTGGTGATGTTCAATGGGTCGCTGCCGATTGAGCAAGGTGGGTTGAGTTGGGTAGAGGGCCGTTTCTCACAGAGAGCATCGCTTGTCATTCTCTTTCTAGTTTGCATTGGAGCATTGCAGCCGTGCATATCTATCTGTCCGTAAGTGCTCTTCCCTCTTGTCCTCTGTTCCATGTCCTGGGATTTCACCCTACCGAAACCCACATCGCCATTTACGAGACGTCGACCTTTGTGCTACAATCCTCCCTGCCCGAAATTCTCCGTGCCTAGAAACTGCCGTGCCTAGAATCCTACATGCCTAATCCACAAGTGCCCCGACACTCTCTCCCAGCTTCTGTGCACCCTTCTTCTCAGCCTGTGCACACCTGTCTCGAGCACGTCTCTACATAGCGAGCCACGGAGCTTCCCTCGCCAACATAAATTTCACCCCTGATGCCTATCCTCTTTCCCTTCCAACACCTCCCCCCCCCCCCCCCCCCTTCCCCCCTCTTCCAACTCCCCCCCCTCCCCCTCTTCGAACCCCTCACCCCTTCCTCGCCCTCCTAGCCCGAGCACTCCTGTCACGGGCACGTTTCTACATAGCAGCCCACGGAGCGGCCCTCACCAACATGATCTTCATGCCGGAGCAAAGCTCGGTGCTCGAGATTCGCCCTGAGGAGTGCGGTATTACTGTCTTCAACGCACTCGCCTCGGCCTGCTCCCTGCGCTACCACCTCCTGTTGACCAAGGGTGACTGGGACTCCCCTATTGTGGCGAATGTGACGAGCGTGGCTCAGGTGACTGATTCTGTCCATGCACGAATGCGCAAGGAGGATGGTGGATATGTGGGGTTGCGGTGACCACATAAGCTCAAGCAAAATACATGGTTTTTTGTGTTGTTTATACAGCGGGTCGGGGGTTATGTGAGTTGCAGGGCAAGGTGGTTTGGCTCTTTCAAAGGAGGTTGATGACTTCGGAGCGCACAGGAGTAGTTAGGGAATTTCCGATGCATCGATGCGGGGTTGGAAGAAGGTATGATGACGTGGCGGCCCAGCTAGCCTAAGGGCAACCAGCTTGTACCGAGAGAAGACCGCGGGTCGCGGCCACTGCATCACAACAACCAGGCCCTCAGAATTCAGACTTTTTTCTCTGATTTGGCCAATAAAACTCTGATATTTCAGAATTTTTTTTCCAGTGTACTCTGTAAATTTCAGGCTTTTTAAAGTTTCAGACGTTTTTTAAGGCTAACTCTGAAATTTCAGAGTTTTGCGGGAGTGTACTCTGACCATTCAGAGTACAAACACGATCTTGACTGGTGATTCGGACTTCACGGACCACAGCAGATTTGCGTTGTCAACGCAAAATCGCCTTGACACAGCAAATCCGCGCCTTACAGCACAAAATTTCGCCCAATCACAGCAAAATCGCCCTGACACCACAGAATCATAGATATGCGCTGTCAGAGCACAACAACTTCGTCCAATCACAAAACAATTCCACCTGACATTGCAGATTCGCTCTTTCACACCACAAGATTCGCACTGAACTGACACAAAAGTTCGCCCTGTCAGAGCATGTTCTCCCGGAAATCCCCTTAGTCTTGCACGTTTCGGTATCAGATTAATGAAACATTGAATACATTTCTGGTGAAACATTGAATATATTGTTTTCGAGTGTCCAGACTTTTATTTTAAGACACTCTGAAATTTCAGCCTTTTTTTTATGCCAACTCTGAGAGTTTCAGACTAAAACGGTGTACTAGTCAGACAAATCAGACAGGCCAAAAACAAATCTGAGGGCCTGATCACAACAAGAACGCGCGTCTCAACTTACACATTTATATGTTTGTATCTGTACTCTATGGGCTAGCTAGGGTTGAATTGCAACCATAGTGGTTATGAAACATTTCTTACACCCCCTTGTATGGTCTTGCTAATAATTCATTCTTCGATTCTATCGTACCATGGTATCACAGCAATTTTAGGACCTACGGTATGCTTCCGCCTCGCCTTCCCTAGTTAGCCCTAGCGCCTCGCCTAGCCGCCCTGTCGCGCCCCTCTCGCGACCTCTTGCACCCCGCCCCAGCGCCCTGACGGGCAACGAGTGACTATCCGTGATAGTGCTATGTGTCAGAATCCCAACCACTAGACCATTGGGATAAAAGTGCTTGTTTGTGTAGCGGGTAAGTGCGCCAATAACCCCCTAGGCCAACGTGCCTGTAACCCTTCTCTGGGATCAATCGGGGATCACCAATGGACCTCTGACACCCCGACGCACTGGGATGCCCGAGGTGCACACACTGGGATTCGAACCCGAGACCTTCGCTCTGATACCATGTCAGAATCCCAACCACTAGACCATTGGGATAAAAAGGCTTGTTTGTGTAGCGGGTAAGTGCGCCCATAACCCCTCAGACCAACGTGCTGTAACCAGGCCTCTGGATAGGTTTGGAAGCACTCTTAGTCGAAAGGGCAGGCTGCCAAAGCTAGTCTTTCAGTAAGGGTGGGTCAGCCATGTCAGTCTTGTGTATCAGTGTTGGCTGCATTGTTACTCGTGCTCGTGAGTGTACTGTGGACCTCGGTTAGTTGTACCATTTTTTTTTAACCAACGCTTAATGTTTAGGTTGACATGACGTGCAAAGAACAATAAAATATATGACTAGAACTAGAACAACAACAGGACCTACATATGGGATGGTCTAGCATGGTCTGGTTCCAGCAGAACACTCCTAGCAGGGAGCAGAGCAGCAAAATCAATACAAGAACTCCTGGGCAGGACGGCGCTTCTTGCTAGCATTGAACACGGCTACCACATTCACCCAGTTCAGACCATCACTGGGCAGGAGCGCTGCAGTCATCAGATCGCCCAGTTTGGCGTCGCCCAGGCAGGTCCGCTTCCACGTCTTGATACGGTTCTGGCGACTGAAGCCCCGCTCGCACTCCACCGTGCTGAGGGGGATCGCAGCTACGGCCTGCCACAACTGCACAAGGTTCGGGTACGCTCCCACGTAGTCAGTTGACTGGAGCATGAGCGAGAGCGACTTGTGGAATCTCATGTTCCCGTGGTTGGTATCCATGGTGTGGAGAAACAACGGTAGCTCCCTCTCGCACGCCTTGAAGCACACACCTGCCAGGATGGGAGAGCAGAGCAGTGAGAGGGGCGATCGGGGCGTATAGGAGGTGTTTAACAGCACACCAAGGTACACACACACACACACACACACACAGCAGACAGCACATTGCAGGCACAACCAGGTGGCGTACCAAAGAGGCGGTGGTGAAACATGTGGTCTAGCATGCCCAATTACTCGCGGCACTTCTTCATCCGCTGCGCGTTGTCGTCGGGATAGCACGATGGCCGGAAAAGCTTGGAGCCGGCCAGGTTCTTGAGGTCTTCTAGGCGGAACTCCAGTCGCGCAACGCAGACCCTCGCAAACTCCTAGCACACCACCTTGCAGGAATAGTAGTCCCCGCCAGTCTTATGGCCTGGGATCTTGCGCTCGTGAAGCACGAACTCGTGCTCTGCAGCTTCGCCGTTCTGGTCCACGCCTTGGATGGTGACTTTGCGGTGCTGGGGGTTGCCGTGTTTCTTCAGGAACGCGCAGAGCAGGTGTACTGGTTGGTTTCGCAGATGTACTCCTGAAGGTGCTCGAATCGCCGGTGCCAGTTGCTCGACCTAGAAAGCTGCTCCGCCACGTTGCGCACCGCCTGGTCTATAATGTTGAACTCCGTCACCTTCTCAGCGGCATCCTTCGCGGCCAACGCCTCCCTGCTCAAGGTAGAACGGAGGAAACGAGCGATTGAAGTGAGTGGGAAGTACATGATCAACACACACCTGCCATAAAGCCAGTAACAATGACGGACTTACCGATGTGCGATGCAGTGGCACGACACGAGATAGGGATTCCGCTGCCGGAGTCGTGCCACAACACCATTGCTGGTGCCCGTCATTACTCTGGCGCCGTTGGTGCTGATTCCATCCAACAATCTTGGACAAGTCACCTAAACCCACCCTTATAGTAAGGGCCATAAGGGTGTTTTACCCTGATATCGAGAGGCCTGCACCCTAGGGTAGATCTAAAAATACAGGAAAAAAAGGGGGGTGTCTTCTCATAGGAAAAAGCTACATAGTACCCGGATGCATATATATGGTATATTTTAGTGTAAGAGTTTTTTTTTTACCGTCATCGCCCGGAAAGAATACAGTGTTGAATAGTATACAGGGGTTGTCTATTATCCGGGTGTCTCTTATAAACATGCTAACCTCATTATAAGACACTTATTTGTATGTACGAGTTAAGCTAGTGTAGGGGTTAGGGGCAATTGTATAGCGAGAAGATATGTTCTAAACGGTTCTTTGTCCATTTATAAGACTTATAAGACACCCTAAACCGTCCCAAATACAAGATAACCCAAGCATTTTGAGTAGTGTACGAGATAAGACATATATGTCTTATATCCGGGCGATGACGGTACTCATTAACAAATATAATAAAGAATGTGTAAGAAAAGGGGGGTGATATAAAAGATCGTACAAAAAGGGGGGTATAGTAGAAACGAGGTCGCCCATAGCACCCACCCACCCCGCACAAGCTACCCGGGGGTGCTCAATCATGGGTGGGTGTTTTGTCCAGGAGAATACGGCATTTCTTTTGATGGCTGCTATGGCACCTGGTCACTGCAACATCATATGACTCCACCATCCTCCTTGCGCAATTGTGCGTGGACATAATCAATCACCCGAGCCACGCTCGTCACATTACCCACAATGGGGGAGAACCAATCGCCCTTGGTGAGCACGAGGTGGTAGCGCAGGGAGCAGGCCGAGGCGAGCGCGTTGAAGACAGTAACTAAACAGCCCTCTGGCCGAATCTCGAGCACTGAAGTTTGCTCCGGCATGAAGATCATGTTGGTGAGGGCCGCTCCGTGGGCTGCTATGTAGAAGCGTGCTCGTGAAAGGAGTGCACGGGCAGAGAGGGGGAGGCACAAAGGAAGAGGATGGAATCGGAAATGGAAAGGATGAATGGAGGGACTTAGGGATGAAAAGCATGCTGGTGATTCAGTTTATGCTGGTGATTCCGTTTATGATGGTGATTCCGTTTATGCTGGTGATTTCGTTTATGCTGGTGAGTTTGGGTCCACAACTCGCTATGCAAAATCTCACTTAAAGGAAGAGCCCACAAGCTGCGAGAGAGAGTTGGGGAAGAAGGAAGAGAAGTGTAATTTGCATGTAAGATTCTAGGCACAGAGGATCAAGGCACGGAGGAATTTGATATTCTCGACCCACCTTGCAAAATCGGCAACGATCCGTTAAACACCACCACTCTCTCGTGCCCAAACCGCCGCACCACCTCCGCCTCCACCTCCCGGAAATTCACCATCGACCGTCGCCGCCCCTCCGGGCGGTTCGCCAGCACGACCACCCAGTCAGAGGGGAAGGAGCGCGCTTCAGCAAGGGAGAGACGGCGGTGGCTGCGGTAGGTCCAGTCGGGGTTGAAGAGAGGGATGCCGGAGGGGTACAGCAGATGGTGTGAAAGAACGAGGGATGGATGAACTAGCAAGCAGGTGGGTAAAAGTAGGAAAACCTAAAAGTGTTGTACCCCATATTGTCTACCCCACTACAGCCTACACAGACTATAGCATATGAGTTTGACATACCCTCATAGGCAAAGTGGGGGAGAACAAGGGGTCACAAGACCAGTCAAGCAAAACAAAGCAAGCTCAGGGTGGATCACAACGTCACCACACATTCCGAGCACAAGTGCAAGGCCACAAGGCCAGTTCACATGCAAGATCATATATAAAGGTAAATAAGCAAGTGCAAGTATACAAAAATCACAGTACAAGGTCAAGAAGTGAGC